CAGCCCCCAGCGCCGCGCGGCCTCGTACTTGGAGCCGCCGGGCTCCCGCAGCAGCAGGTGGGTGCTGGGCAACATCCCCCTCCTGGCGCTGGCCTTCCGCACCAGGAACTCCTGCACCCTGAGGGACAGAGCAGTCAGGCACCAGGGAAACAGCCCAGGGCAAGGCATAGCCTAACAGCACAGCGGTGTTCTGCTGCTAGCAGCTCTGGAAAGGCACCACTTCTCACTCCGCACAAGTCCCCGCGTATCCCATCCCCAAGTCACACCCTGGGCCTGACTTCCTCCTGCCAGAGGAACGGGGAAGGCTGGAGAACCTTCTGAAGCCAGCATGCATTGCTCCCAAGTGAGTAAGACATTCCTTACATTACAGATTTTCCCTTCTCAAGGACCCAATCCTTCAAGCAGACAGCAGGACTGAGAACTCACTGGCAAAGAATTTTGTTCAAACAAAACTCTAAGCCATGCAGTTTTGTCACTCCATGACTAAACGTGTTTTTCAAAGATGCTGATGAATTGGGAGCAAATAATTCAACATCCCAGCTCCTAGGAAATGTTGCACTATCCCTGGCTACAAGGCTGAACCAGATAGTACTGAAGAAGAACAAGGTCTGCTCCTGGACAACTCAGAAGGCCTGACATCTGAAAAACTGACTCTTCCCACTCTGTTCTCCAGCAGAGCAAAAAGTTACTGAGACTTAGTCATTGGGAAATGGGAGACTGAGCATATTCTGGTGGAAATTAGGTTATACTAGTACTGAGTACTGACTAAATTTCTCTAATGGAGAGGAAAATAAGAATAAAGAGCACATTTTATTTTTATTTATAAAAATAAAAAAAGTGCTCATTGCTTCAGCACTAGGTTTTGTAAATCAATAGAATCCAAAAGAGCTTTAACTCTAATGCTTGTTACTCCTGTAACAAAGAAATGAAATCATAACAGTTTTCATCACACTGTCTCTCTAAGAACAAGGAGAAACAGTGATAGGAGACATACCTGGCTCCAAGCAGCTCTGCCAGAAAAACCAGGGAGTCTCTCTCTGCACCAGTGAACTGGCTAAAGGAGAGAACACAATCTTCCAGGGGGGTAACTCCTTCCACTACAGGGACTGGTGTGAAAAGTGGATTGGAACAGGGATCTAAAAGCAGCTGCAGTTTCACACAGGTTAACTTAAGGGAGGGGAAAAAGAAAAAAAAATGCAAATCAAGCCAAAGAGCAAGAAAGCCAACACCACTTCAGCAACTGTCCAGCAGCGTTTATGGACTCGACCACAAGCAATCCTGATTCTGTCATTACATCCAAGATTAATTTTTCCCATGGAATCAGACAGATTTGTTTGTAGATAGTTTTGTCAGATTTGACACACTGAGGCATTATTCAAGACTTTTCCAGTTACTACTCTTCCAACCCTGGAGGTTCCCTTGAAGTGGTTCAAGGCATGATCTGAGGGTCTGTATAGCTTTGCTTCACAGAAGGTGACCTAGTGCTGAGAAATACTAACAGTGATTACATCATGTGCCCATTCTTGGTAAATACAGTTAGTATTTTTTGACTTGGAGCTATAAAGCTGATTTGCTCTACTGCCACAAGTTAAAAAGCTGTAAAAAGCATCTAAACAAGAAAAAGTAAGCCCAAAGATATCAGATGAAATCATTATTAGTCAACTACCTCCTTCCACAGTTCATTATGTAGTGAGAGTGCTGTCAAACTTGTGTTAAAGGCCTTTGAGTCCTGACAGTGAAGTGCTACTTAACAAGCCTGTAGAAAATGAAGGGAAACAGATAACAGACCCCTTAGAGCTCAGAGGCTCTGAAGCATGCTTTCCCTCAGTGCACTCCAAAGGAAATGAGGCCAGTCTCCCAGAATCTTACTTCCATTTAAGCCACTGCTAACTCTGCATCCTGCCTAGACCTATTTCTAACACAGGAACCTGTTTGCTCATGGAACTGCAAGTGTAACTCACCAGCCACGTGCTTGTGACAACGTCACCCACGGTCTGCTTCACCCTGCAGCCCAGCAGAGGGACCACAGCATAGTCTGCAATGGTTCTGCTCTGCAGGGGCAGGACGTGCCCAGCATTCTCCCTTATAACACCTGCAAGGCAGGACTCCTCCTCTCCTCCAAAACCCAGCAGGAGGAACCTCTTTCTGGCAAACAAGCCTCCTTCAGCCAGCGTGGAGGGTTCTCCCAGAGACACATCACAGGTGGGAGAGTGATCCTTTCCTTGAGCAGTCAAGTGTGTAACATCATTGACAGTCCTGGCTTCATCTGAAAGGGGAAAAGAAAAAAATGAAACAACAAACCAACCAACCAACCTTGTTAGTTGCTCGAGAGAACATCAAAGACAACTCAAAACAGCTTCATGAAGAAATGACAGTAGTCTGCTGTTTTCAGCCAGGGTTGAGTTCAAACTGCTCTATCTAGGCCTGCTTCAATTTGATTTCTAAAACAGAGTGTGGAAGCTAATATACTAGACATGGCTAACTTTTTAACAGGCAAATGCTGCAAAACTCAAATGCTAATTAGGAGCAGTTAAGCTTTCTATGATGTGCTGAGCCTAGGACGTACCTAAGGTAGGGTCATTATTTACATATTGAGAGAGGAAGTGATCTTCAGCAGCCTCCTGGGGCTCTGTGACCTTCACAGCTTCTTTCTTCAAGACATTGTTATTTCTGGGAAGAACTGACTTCATTGCAGGTTGCTCCAAAACTGGATTCTCTAACAGCTGGTAGTTTGGAGGGATATATTGCTCCACTGGACATAGATAACCTTTCCTAAATGACTCCAACAACCATTTTGCTGTCACTACAAGAGGCCTGTAAAATAAAGGGTTATACAAACGAGTTACAGCAGGTTTCAGAACTGTGATTCTTCTTTCCAGCTCTTCAAATATATACATAAGTATATGCACGCACTTGAAGTTTCTAACTCCAAATCTAATCAAGCTTTAAGCATTTCACAATCCTCAAGATTTAATTCTTTCAGTCTGAGAACAAAGAATTTCATACCTGTTTTCTACAACGTAGATTATATCTACCACTGCTGGGTTGCTAAATCTTCTTCAATATGTTAACACCTCTTTTCCCCAATATTACTTGTTTTTCTATTCACTGAGGTGACTCACAGCTACCCAAAAAAAGTACATAGTTCAAGAGCACAAGAGGATGTTCTTGAGAATACTAGCTATAAGTCTTCCCATTTAAATCAAGAACTAAATAGAATTTTCAAATCAATACATGTTTTCCTGTTCACAAGGTTATGGGAGAAAAATACAGTTATTGTAACCTGTGAGCTGACTTGTCCAAGAAGTGTTCCAGCTCATCATTATTCTCCCCCAAAATAACATGGGTAACATCTTCATTAAGCTGATTAAATCGAACACCTCCACCACAATTAATAAGCCTTCTCATCTTGTCCAACTTCTTGCCACTGAAGCCACACAGATAGATCTACAAAGAGAACAGAGCAACAGAAAAAGCTCTTAAAAAGAGGAAGAAAAAAAATAAGAAAAAAATAAAGTAGGATATTTTGGTGGGATTTGACTGCTGGAGAACACAACAACTAGTGGTGCAGTTTCTGATAAGCTGCAAACAAGTTAAGCAAATAGAATTGGACTAATTTATCCTTGCAAATCACACACCAGCTCTAGAACCCATTCCTTAGTGTGTTGAAATATAGAATCATAGAATCCTTTAGGTTGGAAGGGACCTCCAAGATCATCAAGTCCAACCCTTGAGCCATTAGGGCTCTAGTCCTCTGCTAAAACAGATCAGAATCTGTCAGGGTTGGAAGGGACCACAAGGATCCCGCAGTTCCACCCCCTCTGCCATGAGCAGGGACCCCTCCCACTAGATCAGGCTGCCCAGAGCCTCCTCCAGCCTGGCCTTAAAGACCCCCAGGGATGGGGCCTCAACCACCTCCCTGGGCAACCCATTCCAGGGTCAAATATAGTTTTATATTTATAGTACATATTTAGTACAACTATACACACATATGTGTGGACACAGGTGGAAACAACAGAACATGCCCATAAAATAAATCTGCCATTGCTACTGACCATGGAAACAACAGTTTACTCAAAGAACAAGTGCTAGTGCTTCAGCCTAGTGGCTTCCATGGGGTTAAGACTGAACATTTCAAAGTATACATTGTTAAACATACCCTACATCCATCTAACAGATCTTCAGGGGCTTGATAAGAACTTAAGTCCAAGTGTTCCAGCTCATCAGGAGGAGGATCCAGCCTGCTGCTCATAGCAGAGCTACATGTGGTGCCATTCACACCACCCAAACTGATGCTGGAAATGCGGCTGACATCTGCAAAGGTATGATCTGCAAATAAAATTTAAAAGGATGCATTAGTTCTGGCTCATCTCTCTCCACTGCTTCACTAAAAATACAAAACTGCCAGATACGATTTTGTTCTGCTGGAAGAGAAAGTAAATTCTGAAGAACAAAAAATACTGACTATAACCTCGGCCAAACCGCAGGGGTTATTTACACACGGGCTGAGTACTGTCAAAAACCACCCCTGCAAAAACAAGCAGCACTCTTATTAATTTGAAACAGTTCTTCCTCCTTACTCCCAATGTTTCCTATCATTCTTTAACATATTTTAAAAGGTCTTACTTACTGTCAAGCTTGCTGGCATGACTCATCGGTGTGGATGTACTGGGCATGTTACTCTGATTTGATCCAGCCTCTACTCTATACATTGTTTCATCCTGGCAGTAGCCCCTCTCAATGCTGTCAGAAAACCACTGCACAGACACACAGTGCACGTTCCATTTTTTGGCACATTCGTACTTCTGACCTTTCAAATAGAAACAAAATAAAGCTCACAAGTCACTAACAGGTAAATGCTTCAAACAGAGATCGCTGAAAGATGGGTGGGCATTAAGAACATTTAAAAACCTCATATAACTGAGTTAACGTGCAAGTTGTGTTATCCCAGACTCTTCTGATAAGCTGCTTATTTATTCTCTAACTAAAGTTAGGGCAAAAAAATCTCATTGATGGCTAGCTCATGGCTGCAGATGGACAGAGCACTAAAGAAAAGAAAAAAACACAAACCAACACAAAAAACACCACCCTGCTTTAAAGAACAGGAAAAACATATCATAACTCCCAGGGTATTTCCCCGTAAGGAATGTGAAGGAAATTGGGGGGAAAAAAAGAACTATTCCTGTTATTCTCACAGTGAAACTGCAATCCTTCCATCTTCCCAAGAGGAAAGCAAGAGAGCTTTCATTTTATCTTAGGAGGGAGTTCAGAAGGCACAAAGAGTAACAATTTAAAAACTTCAGTCCGCAATTCTAAACTAAGCCACATCCATCTCTCCCAAAAACCTTTCATCCTCTCTAGGATTCTCCCTTTTTCTTCAACTAAATACCACCTGGGTCTCCATTTTTTTTTCCCTTTTTTTGTTCTCTTTCTCAAGCCTTGAGGGCAAGGTAAGGGTGCCCTGTGCTGCTCTTCTCAACCGGGATTCCTGAAACCAAAGGACTAAGAGCGACACTGAAGCAGACCCGGGACGGTTCAAACTCTTACACTCAGGCATCTTTACACTACTTCAAGACACACAAATTCTCCGTACGGTGCAGCTCCCACCTTTTGGCTCCTGGACGATGAGGTGAGTGCACTCGTTCATCCTGAGCTGCCCCGAGTAGTGGCCGCCGTGGCGCGTGGCCAGGCGCTGGACGTCCCGCCTCTCGGCGCCGCTCAGGCCCGTCACGCAGATGGTGCAGCCCAGGAAGATGGGGCAGGAGTGCTCCGCCACGCTCACCTCCGTGTGCCTCACCATGCTGCACCAGCAGGGAGGGAGGCAGGAAGAAAGAAATCAAGGGTTGGGTTTTATTTCATTCCAAGCAGCCTGTACCACCGTAAGAATTTACCAGCCCCCAAAACAAAACCGGTCTGGCTTTGGGTTTTTGTACCTTTGCTGAGACTTATCCCACAGTGTCTTAACCCAAGAGGGAAGCAAAATAGGTTTTTTCAGAGAAGCAGCTACTAGGTATTTCTTGCTGCCAACTTCTCCAGCTATAAGATGAGTCACTGACATGTTGAGGTCTCTATAGACGCGTCCACCCATCAACTGCACGTATTTATGGACTTCTTCCTGGGTGAAGAGAAAAAAAACATTATGCAAAACTGTCAAGAAAAAAAGAAAGAACCTAAATCACACTCACATGCTCCTTAAAACAAAATCATGGATTTCAATTGTCCATGGTTTCTTTAAAGAAAACTGTTTAAAAATACGAAGTGGTATATATGGAAGCCATAAAACCCACCAAATATAATTACCATTTTATTTGCATTTATGATAAGATGAACATAATTTGTACCCTTAATAAAAAAACTATAGCCATACTGTATGTAGAAAATGTTACAGATGTTTGACATTTTAGGTAGTATAAATTAAAGAGAGGTATTGGGATAAATAAAATATAAAGTTATAGGATAAATGATGTAAAACATAGCTGACTGGCTATTAAATTTTCACCATGTAGTTTTGACTGACCAGAAACAGAGCCTGTTTGTAACATTACAGCCACAAACTAGCACAAGTGATCCATCTAATCAGGTAATAAAAATCCCTAAAACATACACTTACTCCATATTAATACAGCTGAAATGGTACATGATTATGGATTCACATCCATGCACAGATGCACCAGCACACCCACAGTTTTACACTATATGTTTCCTGCTTTCTCCATACAACCCTACATAAGCTATAGATAGTCTACAAACTACACACAGACTAGATAGATCTAGACAAGGTACAGTCTAGTAAGGAGCCATCTGAAGCAAACAACCACGGGCCAGATGACAGGCTTTGCAGAGCAGCTTACCCTGATGTCCTTGTCCAGGCTGGTACAGGACACGGCGACGTCGGCCATGGCCATGCTGTGCACGGGGTACTCGGCCCGCGGGACGCGGCGCTGGGCCTGCATGCAGTACAGCACCACCTGGGGGCCAACGATCCTACAGCCGAGCTGCAGCCAAGACAAGAACAACACAGAAAAATCAGCAGGAGGTACAGCGCTATAAGGAAGGCTCTCCCTGCCCCTGAATCCCGAGGAAGGCCGGGCCCTCCCTCTGTCCCCCTCCTCCTCCTCCTCCAGCCTCTCCATGGAGGCAACAGTTCTGCTTTTACTTTCAGCTGCAGATTTTCAGTGCCACCCCTGTAGGTTCTCTGGCCTCAGAAGCAGCACATGCTATAGCTCACACACCAGAGAATTCCAGCCAGCCAGTCTTCATCTGCTGGACAATTCCTTGCACGTCAAACAAAACGATGCTACCAGGAGGTAAAGAGCTGTGAGAGCCAGCTTAGCAACTCCAGGAGAAGTTCATCCAGAGAAGTTCATGATCAGAGAAGATCATCCAGAGATGATCAAACTACTTTGCTGTGAGCCTCAAAATAATCCTCATGCTTTGCTAGTCAACTTCTTCCTCAGAGGATGCAGTGAAGTTTTAAAACTTTTTTTTTGTGACTACTTGATACTACTATGTTCAGTGTGAAAAGAGAGAACATAGAGTGTACTCATGGACAAGAGTGCTTCTAGAAAAGAAAGCACATAGCTAGAAGTAAGCTGATTACTAGCCTACCTTTTTGAGATGATTGAAAACAACGCCTCTGAAAGGATCACAAATGTAAAGGGATTTATCATTTTCTTTTATACTGAGTGCTGTTTCTTCTTCAAGGACCTGGAGATGTTCTTCTGTCTGGAATTCTTTTATAGACTGCAGGAAGACACATACAACATTTATTTAACAAATCACAAATAGCTCATCCCATCGAAACAACACAAGTACACCTACTTGAGACAGCACACAACAGAGCTACTGGGCAAGAGCATACCAGCAGATGAAAGAGCTAAAACACCTCAGGGGTGTCCCACTCACTCCCTCAAGCTTTTGCAATACTCAGACTTAAGATACTTGTCAAACTTACAGGAGCTGATCCTGCCACACCATGCCTTTGGCTCCCACTAGGCTCTCAAGATGGAAAACAACCCACAGTGCCCTTCCTAAGGTTGCTTAGTGCTTAGAAGAGTGACCACCATCCAGACCTTCCAAGCTACACAGTACTTTGCTAAATGTTAAGAGCTGGACTCAAGGATCTTAAGTCTTTTCCAATATAAATGACTGAACGATTCTACGTCATTAGGCTTTCCTGTTCAAGAAGTAATTTCCTCAACAAAACTGTTGTTGTTCAACAAACTTTATTAAACACTAAACACCTTTATTACCGAAACAGCTTTATTTCCCAATGTCTGTGTAAACTCCACCTAAGTCAAACACAGAAATCATTTAACTATATAACTCACCGAGCTCAGAGAAAGATGCTCAAACCTACTCACCTCAAGAGCTTTAAAGAAATACTCCGAGTTCCCAGAAGACTTTACGAATTTCACAAAAAACGGCTCCTCACCACCTTTCATCCTTCAGCTGGAAGCAAACCCCCGAGGGCGCCGTCAGAGCTGCGCAGCCGGCACCGCGCAGGGCCGGGCCGCGCACCCCAGGAGCTGGGGAACCCCCTGATCCTGACCCCGATCCTGTCCCTGGTCCTGTCCCTGTCCCCGTCCCGTCCCTGACCCCCTCAGCGCCCACCTCTGCTGGACGGGGGGGAGGCCGGGCCCACCGGCAGGCCCCTTCC